GGAAAGAGAATGAAAATAGGGGATTTTATTCCTTAAGTAGTTAGTAAGCTTATGGGTGTCACTTGTATTGTTATTTGTAGGCCTACACATATTTTTACAATATTCTTTTGTATCTACTTAGTATATGATAAACTCACACACAACCTGGGGCAGATGGGCCTGTGGGGTGGTGGATACCTGCTCCAATCCACTGTCCTACCCTTCTCTACACTCAAGTTTCCTAAGTGCAGGTAACATTTCTCCCAGGCAGAAAACAGGAGGGCTTTTCTCTTAAGAAATTGAATTCAATATCTCAGGTCAGCTAGAGCTTGCAGTGTGGATGTTGGTACCACAGAATAGAGGCCTCCTGACTCTGCTATTTATGATTCTGCTCCACACTGGGCTTCTAGCCAGGTATTCTCATTTAGCGAAAGGCCCAGAGGTAAGCCAGACCTAATTGTGTAATAGCAGAAGAAACCTACATCAACTCATTTTACAAGGTACTCACTAATGGGCATACAGCCAGAAAGCGGCCAACCTGGGATCTGAACAGAGGCCTTCCTTCCAAACTTGTGCCCTTAGCTCTTAGCTCATGCATATCCTTTCCTGGGTAAAATTAGGCACAAACTACTGTCAACATTTCTATCTGTGCCCACAAGCTTATAAGAGAATCAATCTGTCTGGATTTTGAATGAAGACCAATGGGAACAGAGAGGCCTGGGTTTGTTTTGTTTTATTTTGTCTGTTTTTTTTAAACAGGCTCCACACCCAGTGTGGGACTTGAACTCACAACCCTGAGATCAAGAGTTGCACGGTCTATTAGAGACGATGGACTCGGAAAAACAAACTGAGGGTTCTGGAGGGGAGGGGGGTGGGGGGATGGGTTAGCCTGGTGATTGGTATTAAAGAGGGCACATTCTACGTGGAGCACTGGGTGTTATGCACAAACAATGAATCATGGAACACTACATCAAAAACTAATGATGTAATGTATGGTGATTAACATAACAATAAAAAATTATTAAAAAAAAAAAAGAGTTGCATGGTCTACCAACTGAGCCAGCCAGGTGCCCTGAAAGGCCTGGGTTGTTGTTATCCAGTTAGCAATGTGACCTTGGGCTGACCTCAGGTGGAAATGGTGGCTGTGACCAGCTCTGTGGCATGAGGTTGGATCAGCTATCCCAGAGTCTTCCCACCCACAAGGCCCTTCACTGATTATCACTCTTAAGCTTTTCCCACTCCTAAGGTCTGCAGGGGCAGTCTGGCAAGGCTTCTTTTGGGGGAGGGAGGCAGCTGTCTGGGGGCAAGTGTCTGGTGTCTCTGTTCTCTTATGACACAGATGGACAGGCTTTGGGGCTAGAGAACCTTCTGTTTGAACCTGGCTCCCATTTGTCCATGGTGTGACTCCAGGCAGGTCTTTAGCTCTGTGAACTTCGATTCCCTCTTACGGAAACATGGGGGAATTTACAGGGCTGTTAGAAAGGTAGGAGGCGAGGTTTGTAAAAGGCCCAACATTTGTAAAACAAAAGCGTTTCGTGGTAATTTTAAAACCTATACAAAAGTGAAAGCTGAGAAAACCATATAATGTACTCATGTGTACCTGTCACCTTGCTTTAACACTGTCAACCCCTGGCCGTTTGTTGTTCCTCTGTTCCCCACCCACTTCATTTTTTAAAAAGCCGTATTATTTGAAAGCAAATCCAAATATATAATTTCACCCAGAAGGACATCAAGAATATATCTCTACAGATAAATCCTTTAAAAAAAATCACAATACCATTATAACACATATAACAAAATTAACAATTTCTTAATATTCCCTAAAAAAAACTCTTTGTTCAATATTACTCAATTGTCTCTGAAATATATTTTTTGCAGTTGGTTAGTTTGAATCAGGATCCAAACAAGATTTATATACTGCATCTGGTTGATATGTCTCTTAAGTCTTTTTTTTTTAAGATTTTATTTATTTATTTATTTGACTGAGAGAGAGAGAGCACAAGCAGATTTTTTTTACATCAGTCTGATCAGTTCTGTATGAAGTTTCCCATTTACCCCATCACTTAGAAGTTTTGATAATCGTTGCCTGGACCCATTATTTCATTTAGGGTTGCCAAAAGATGACATTTTCTTTTAATTTTATTATTCCTTCTGCATTCATTAGTCAATTCTTTTATAAAGATTTTCCCCCCATAAACTCTTTGGTTACTACAGATAGAATTTGTATAAGAAAGGAAGGATACAGACTTAATATCAGTTTTCAGAATAATGAATTGGTCCTGGTCATCAAAGGCAACCAATGAAGTTCTGTTTTGTTTTGTTTTGACTTATGCAACTTTAGGAATTTGTGGATCAAACTTATAGATCTTCGTATATTTGATGTTTTGACCCATCGTAATCATTATTCTTTTAGATGTTCAAGTTGTCCTGTCCTTGGCCTGTGAGAGTCCCTTTAAAGTTGGCTTCTAAGTCCTTAATGGCCTCTTTACTTTCTGGAGGTGACACAATGTCTCAGGCAGGCTCATCTTGCATATTTTTTGCCCCAGACTTGGAGACATCCGTTTCTCCAGCAGGTAGAATCTGGCATTTTAAATTTTTTTAATCTCCCAGGAGATCCCAGTGCCCATGAGGCTCACTTTCTGTAGGATATAGAGTATTCCTGATTGTGTGGTGTCCAGCTAGCTCCCTGTTTCATCTCCTGCCCTGCTCTTTCAAATATGCTGAGCTCTTTGTTACTTCTCAAATAAGGTGTTCTCTCCTGATTTGGGGCTTTGTGCATGCTGATTCCTTTGCCTTGAATGCCCCTCCACTCCCTGCCCCTCTGACTCAGTGCAAACCTTGCCCTTTCTGTGATACCTTCTTCACTCACTCTGGCAGCTGATTTAGATCCTATTATCCATTTATTGCAGCAGTCAAAACATATCATTAAACTTTTAATAGTTGGCTTCCTTCCTTGGGTTGCAAACACATCTGGCACATACATAGCCAGCACTGAGCTTTTCCCATTGTTATGGCTGTTTTCCAAGCCTATTAACCTTGATCTCATCTCTTTCTGCTCTGGCCTCTATTTAATTCATTTCACGAAACATTTCACAGAGCACCCCTCTAGTTAAATAACTAGAGAATACTTACTGAGCATCTACTATGCCAAATGTGCTTTACATACATGATTTTATTACTCTCAACTGGTGAGGTAGGGATTATTATCCTCATTTTACAGATGAGCAAGAGGAAGCTCAGTGAGGTGGCTGAAGGTCCCATAGCTAGGGAGTGGCTGGGCTGGGATTTCCGTAGTGGGTCTGATGCCCAAAGCCCAAGGTTTTCCCTTCACATCATTGTCCATCAAAGTGTGGTCAATGATCCACCCACATCAGAAACCCCTGGGGAGCTCATTAAAATGCATGCTCCTGGATTCCACCCCAGACCTACTGACTCAGAATCCTAGGAAGATGCAGATGGAAAACTGAATTTCCAATTAAGCTTCCTTGGGATGAACTGAAACAATTATTATTACTTTTTGAATAGGTGAAACACACACACTTAAAACATTCCAAATGTTCAAAGGGTATAAGAGCAGGCACCCCAGCTCCATCCCCCAGTTGCCCAGTTCTCAGAGGCAACCACTTTTCCTTGACTCAAACTGAGACCATCTTTGTATTTACGTGATATACCAAGATAGGCAGGTCTCTGCACTCCCGCGCTCACAAAAATCTGCAGGTAAGACCACCATTCAGGGGCAAGTGCCCCAGGAAAGGGTCCCAGAGTCACCAGCAAAGATGGCAAGGAGTTCTGTTTGGGGAGTGCCTGCACCACCTGTTTCTAGGACATTCCAGCGTGCTCGGCTCGGGCTATCACTTTGTGTAGGAGGCTGGTCCCTGCACAGGCAGTCTTGTCACAAGCAAAGATCAGGAAAGAACAGCGGGCAAAGGGAGCGTAAGACTCGTTAGGATGAGTAGAGAGGAGCCTGCACAGAGAAGTCTAGAGATGGAAGGGTCTGGGTGGGAGGCCCAAAGTCAACATTTCCACTTGTATTTTCCATTATTTGTGGTAACCATCGACCTTTCCCTTTAGGATAGTCTTTAAAATATTTAACCTTTCTGGGATCACAGACTCCTTTGGGAATCTCATGAAAACCGTGGGCTTTCTCCCTAGAAAACTGCACAGACACATAAAACGCTGCAGACGATTGCAGAAGCTTCATAGACTGCCTACCAGGATTACCCAGGGATATCCAGGAGGTCCAAGTTAAGAACTCCGCTTTCAGATGTCCCTTGTTATACTTAAAACGCCCGGTTTACAAAAACTCTTTCTGTATTCGTTTAGAGAGCCTGAACTATGTCGCCACTTGCAGCGAAGTGCCGGGGCAAGGACTAGAGGCCAGCCCGCTCAGGAGGTGGAGGCGTTGGCGACTTCGGCCATTGAGCTTGATCGTCGGGTAAGAACCCACAGACAGGTAATGGCTCCCATGGGGGGCGGTGGGCGTCCTCCTCAGCTTTTAGCGTCATCCGGCTGGGCCCCGGTGCTTCGGGAGCATTTCGTGGTTTCCCAGCGCGGCACCTGCTCCTCCACACCGCAATCTCCTGGGTTTCGGGGAGCGACCCCACCTCGGACTGGGGAGCGCCGGCGCTGGGCTCCGCAGGCAGAGCTGCGCTGCGAGCCGGCGGGCTCCGCATTCATCATTGTTCCCCCAGCGCCTGGCACGGGTTGGGGCGCAGGCAGCGAGGGTGGCCTAAAGCGTCGCCCGCCCACGAAGCTCTAGCGCCACAGGTGTTTCCAGGGCGCCTTCCAAGGGCCAGACCTGAGCTGGGCGCTGGCGACGCACGGGAGGAACAGAAGTCCAGCTCCGGCCCGCTGCGCGCGGGAAGGACAACAGTCGGCTGGCGCTGGCAGCTCGGGGCGCACGGGGCCGCGAGGGGACCTGCGCGCGCCCCCGCCCCGCGCCGCGCGCTCGTGACGGCGCCCCCGGCCCCGCCCCCGGCCTCCGCCTCCCGCTTCCCCCTCCCCGCGACTCGGCCGCGCTCGGGTCGGCGGGCTCTATGGGGAAAGCGGCCGCTCTGTGCCGAGGCGGCGGCTGTGGCGGCCGCGCCCGCGGACTCTCGTCGCTGTTCACGGTTGTCCCCTGTCTGTCCTGCCACACGGCGGCGCCGAGCATGAGCGCTTCCACGCCTGGCCCCTGGCCGGAGCCCAAGCCCCAGCCCAAGCCTCAGCCCCAGCCAGTGCCGAAGCCCGAGCGGCAGCCGGTGTCGGAACAGGTGTCGGAGCCAGTTTCTGAGCCGGTGCCAAGACTGGAGCCTGTGTCTGAGAAGACGTCCGAGCCAAGGCCAGAGTCCAAACAGGGGACGGAACTGCTGCTGGGTGTGGGGCGGGGGTCAGGGCCCCGGCCAGAGTTGGGCTCAAGTGTGGGGGCTGGGCCCTGCCCCAAGGCCTCATCAGAGCAGCTGCCGGCCCTGGGGCCAGTCGTGGAGAGTGCGCTCTGGACCAAACCCGAGCCGGGGTCGCTGCCGGCGTCAAAGCCCCCGCCGCTGCTGCGACCCGGACAGGTGAGGGCGTCTCTTGGGGTTCCAATGTCAGGGACTGGCGCGACCTCCACGGCGCCTAAGGCCTTACTGCCTCTGGACAGCTTCAAGGGCTGGCTGCTCAAATGGACCAACTACCTGAAAGGCTACCAGCGCCGTTGGTTCGTGCTCAGCAATGGTCTGCTGTCTTACTACAGGTATGGACATGCCACACTGAGGCATCTGATGTTGGAGGGTGGTGATGTTGCAGTGATGGTGACAGAGGGTGTGTGGGGTTGGAGGACACTGCCACTAGCCTAGCGTTGTTTGGGAACATGGACTCTAGCAGGAGAAATAATATCTCTGACTAACCTCCAAGGGTTGGGGGCCCTGACCTCTGACAGGGGAGCCCCCTGTGGACAAGACTTCTGACCAGCTTGGGTTTCAGGAGTGTGGGGAGGTGGAGTGAGAGAGTGATCTGGGGCCTCAGGGCCCCTCTGGTCTTGGGGGTAGTGGAGCCTTGGGGCAGCCAACCAGTGTCGGTTCCCCAAAGTCTTTGATTCTGGTTCAGGAGCTAAGATCGTTGTGTTAGGGATTGAGGGGAACAATCACCTTGTTCAGTCCTTGGAACCCACTGTGGGAAGGACTACTTGCTCCCCACCCGCCAGCTGGTCACTTAGTTTATTTCCCACTCTTCCTGACACCCCTGGTGGCCAGGCCTTGGGATGGGCACAGCAGTCCAGATGTATCAGATACAGTGTCTGCGTTTTAGGGGCCCATCTTAGCATTCTGTGGAGAACCAGAAGCATTCCACTGTCACCTTCCTTATTGCAGAAGCAGCATGGGATTCAAAATTGAAGTCCAGTGGTGAGATAGCTAGTACTGTCTGCCCGATGAAAGGGAATAAGATACCAGAGGCTTCTCTCTTTTCTAACTGGCTAGTGCCTTACTATGTTTCCTGGGGATGGTTGGTTTCAACTTTGAGATCTCAGGTCACCCTATGCCATTTGTTCTCAAACATGAGCCAGTATCAGAATTCCCTGAAGGGCTTGTTGAAACATAAAGTGCTTGCCTCTCTGCCGAGTTTCTGATGCGGTGGGTCTAGGAGGACCTGAGCTTTGTCATTTCTCACAAGTTCCCAGATGCTGCTGCTCCGGACCACAGTCTGAGAAGCACTGCTCCGTTGTCTTTGCAGACAGGAGGGCCCTGCCTTGCTGTTTGGTGAAACTCAGGTCACCTCGGTCACTTCACTTGGCCAGGCAGTATCCCTTCAGGTTGCTCACTATAGGGTTTGTGGGATCCTTCCTTGCCTTTTTGGAACACAGCTTCTGGAGGATGGTTGAGTCTATAATGCCCCTGACAATTGGGGAGCTCCACTGAACTTAAATGATGGTTCCCACTCCAAAATGGGGACCACTGTCATTAATTCCTGGCAGGGGAGAAAACTGACAAGTATTTCTCATGTGCCTTTCTCATGTGGTATCTTGGTGCCCCTCAGCCCACTCAGCTGCACCCTCCAGATCACACAGAACATAGCGTTCTTATAGTTAGGCAACCAAACAAGAAATGATTCTTTTCCAAAGGGTGTTTTTATCCCACTTACCATTCTCTGTCAGGTGTGTAAACATTTCACCAAGACATGCAGTGGTAGGGATCATCCGTGATTTGCTATAAATGTGTCACTGTCGGCTGTGGACCACACACTCTGTTTTATGTTACATTCACTTCACACAACCACACTGTGAGGTGGGCTCCAGGATTGTTGAGGGGTTCTGAGGTTTGACAGGAGGATGTAGCTTGTCGGAAGTCATTGGCCCCCATTGGCAATGGGGAGAGATTCTGACCTGGGCCTGTTGTACTCCACAGTCTGTGCCTGTCCCAGATCTGTGTCCTAATGCCCACTTTCTCGAGTTCACATTGTTATCTGTATTTGCCAGGTACCACTAACCTAGAGGGGTCAAGGTAATGTTTATGAGTATTGGGTCCCACAGTTCTAGTGGAAGTAAAACCTGATCTCATGCACTTTTCTTTTGTTTTATTCTAATCAAAAGAGCAAAGATTTACCAATTTCTTTTCTCTAAAATAACTGTTTGTAGACAGTTGGCATTTCAAGGTTATCTCAAATGTGCAGATTCTCTGGGCAGTAAGAAAAATTCTTATTGCTTGCTGATAAGGTTGTGGGGACAGATACTGGTTTGGGGGGGATGAAGGGGATGGGAGCAAGTTTCTTGTGTGTGTGCTTGCACAATCCACCTCGGTTGCTTTGTTTTTGGACATTTCTAGACTCCAAGGTGGGCAGAACTGTTGCTTGACTTGTCTGGGTGGAATGAATGATTCCCAACATTAGGACAGCCCTGTGCCATCATTTAGTACTGTGTGAGTCTTTCCATGAATATGTCCTCATTCCCATTTTAGAGGAAAGGAAACTGAGGCCAAATGAACAAACCTTCCGTGGCTCGCTCAGAGGCACCTCACTTGTGGGTGGCTCCCACATGCCAGGGGAGATGGGTGAGTCTCCAGGTGCAGAAAAGGCCCCTCTGAGGTGGAGCCCAAACTGCCACTTCTTCCTTGTACCCCTGTTGTGCCTTTTGGAAGACCCTTTGGTCTGCCCCTCCTTGTGCTTCTCAGTACTTCAGATGTTTGACACCGCTCTCCTGTCCCTGCTTCTGGTCTGAATCCCGCCTTCTAGACCAGACAGGGCCATCCTCCCTGCTGGGGTCAAGGACAGAGTGCCCTCCAGGCCTGTGGCTCATAGTTCTGACGGCAGCAGGGTGGGTTATGTGGGCTCTGTCTGTGCCCGGTGCTGTATGTATGTGTTCTCTTCTTACCCTGTCTGGAACCCCGGCTCTTAGTTGTTCTTTTTTTTTTAAGATTTTACTTATTTATTTGACACAGAGAGAGTGAGCACAAGCAGGGAGAGTGGCAGGCAGAGGGAGAGGGAGAAGTAGGCTCCCCACTGAGTAGGGAGCCCGACATGGGGCTCGATCCTAGAACCCTGGGATTATGACCTGAGCCGAAGGCAGATGCTTAATCAACTGAGCTACCCAGGTACCCCTCTCAGTGGTTCTCCAAGTGTGTGTGGCTAGAAGAGTGGCAAGATTCAAGTGCTTGTGAGCTGAAGACAGAGAGAATTTTTATTCATTACTCTCTCTCTTAGGGGCCAGGTAGAGCCAGGTTTAACCTGGTAGGGTGATGTGCCTGGTGGAGAAGGAATCAGAGCCATTTCCCTTGCAAGCTTCCCTTTTGGAAAGACCACTCTAATTTTATTTTATTCTTCTTCTTCTTTTTTTTTTAACTAAGTGAAGCCTGGCGTTCAGAGAAATATCTTCAGAGAAAATGTGGGCACATATTTCTTGTGCTCTCTCCCCTCTCCCATCCTCCAGCCTGCCCCACTCCGGGATAACCACCATTCCAAATCTGTGTCACTGTCTTCTTTCTTTTCTTTTTATTCAGTTTTATCTCATCTATATGCACTTTTAAAAGCCCCATAGTTTTCATTTCAACCATTTTTAACTTTATAAAAAAGGGTATTGTACAATATATGATTTGGGGGGACTGATGCTGATGGCTTTATAACAGTCCAGGACGTGGGCATGTCACTTTTTATTTATGCATTCTCCTCTCGATGGCTGACCATGACAGTTCTTGTACACGTGCAGGAGATTCTCTTGGTTGAAATTGCTGGGTTGTAGGAATGTGAATGTTCACCTTACATAATGCCAAACTGTTTTCTAAAGCAGTTGTACCAATGTATACTCCCACCAGCAGTTAATAGATTTTATGGATCTATATCCTTTGCAACACTTGGTATTGTCTGCTTTGATTTTACCAATCAAATGGGTATACTATGGTATCTCGTAGTCTTGACCTGAATTTCTATCCCCATTATTTGTACCTTAACGGAAAATCAGTGGAGGTTTAGATTAGAATTTCTCTGTTATGTGTGGCTTTCTCGGGTACTTCCGCCCTGGATTTTGCTTGAGAATCTCATTTGATCACTTAAGTTTATTCTAAAGGAGAAAGTACCTAGTGCCAACAGCTGGGCTTGGTAACAGTCCTATTATCAGGATTAAAAAAATGCTCTTTGTAAATATTGCCACATGTAGAAACAATTTCGTGGAAGTATTGGTAACTGTTGGCAGGTTTTTACTTCTTTCCAACAATGTGCTAGGAATCTAAATAAATACAGGGGATGAGATTCTTATTCTGTTGCTGACATGCTTAGTCACATGTCTCTTTGGACACAAAGACAATGTGGTCTTTTGGTTATTAGTTCCCATTTAAAAAATTTTATCCCCAGTTCTTATCTCATAGAGAACATGTGATTACATGTTACATTAAGGAAAAATTCATAAGTGATGTGGAAGTTTCAAAGGTATCGCTTTGGCAAGTTCTTAGGGCAAGAGTGTGCCACGCATGAGCTTTCTCCACATTAATGACAACATTGATTTGGTTAAGCAAAATTCTGTTTTGTTTATACCAGTTGCCTATTTGGTGACACTATAAATGATATTTGTTTCCCAGGAAACGATTTCAAACAGAAGCATTTGTTTTAATTTATTTGTTGTTCAGACTGATCTACGCGGGTAGGCATAGTTAGGCCAGTTAGCAAGGAAGTCCTCAAAGAAATTAGCCTGGGTCTGTAAGAAAGAAGACTTCAGTCAAGTAAGAGTAAATTTTGAAAGTCTTCTGGCTGAGGAAGACCACTGAACATGTGGTGAGCTGGGCCCATTGTGGGGTGGTACCAAGTCAGGTAAGAGAAGATGGCACACCAAGACATCTTTGACTCTGGGATGGATCATGTACTCATTCTTCCGGTGAGACCATCTCTCAAAGGCAAACTCTCATGTAGACGGGCTGCCAGGAAATAGTAGTGTTCTCAATGTCACTTTAGGTAATACTCGAAGGACGGGGATGGGAAAGACTCTCCAGTTGCAAAGTGCCCCTGAGGATGCAAGTCTGCAGGTTAAGCCACTGGGGTCTCCACCCTAGAAGATGGTGGCCTTATCATATTGGATTCAGCTTTACTTTAAAATAACATCCAGTGTTTCATACTATAAGACCATTAGGAGGCTGAAAAGGAATGCACAGGCTGATAACGTGTCCACATTTGCTTGAAGTGTATTTTCTTAACGTTTAGCAGAAGGGTGTGGCAAAGAGGTTGTGAGTGGATTGGGAGCATATTTTGGAGGAACCCAGGACACACCAATGTTCTTAG